TCTATTCTGTTTCCCCCTCCCAGGGAGATCCCCGTGTCCTCTTCAGTGTGAAGCCTGAGTTACAGCATGTTTACTTTGGGCCACGGTCTGCTTCCCTCCTACACGTATTCATAACTTACCTTCACACCTTTGACATGACCCATGATGAGCTATGTTTGAGTGTATATGCTAGCTGATATGCTATTATTATTCTATTTGTTATGTTCTAAAAGAAGATGTGGAAACAACCTTTATTCTTGTCTTTCTTCTGGTAGCAAGCTCACAATAGTAATGGAATAATGACTTGTGGTACTCAAATATGACCCTGTGAGTCTGAAGAACCCATTTGGAAAATCTATAGTCTTGCTGTTACCAACTATGGGCAGCTTTTTTTCATATAATAAATAAAGATTGAGTTCATTTTTGGACTTTAGTGAATGTATATAGTTTTACTAGAGTTAATGAGTAGACGATTAGGAAGCCACTAGAAAATCTTCCTTTCAGAAACGTATATTGAGAATAATCACATTGCATGGTCTGAAGAGTCTAGAAGCATGGAAAAGATTAATCCAGACAGCTTGAACGAGGGTGTCTGTTATGATGGTTCCATGGGTGCTGGCTCAGAGTCTAGAAAATCAGCTTCAGACTAGAGGAGCAAAAGCATAAAGACCGTGGACCAAGATGGAGTCTGAGCCTTGCGCCTTGTAGACTTAGTGCTGGAAAGTGGTAGGCACCCTTGTTCCCAATTTGGTGAGACTGAGTGGCACTCACTGTCCCTTTCATGGGAACCCTGAGAGGACAGAGTCACAGTTGGCCTGTGCTGTTTCCTCCATATTGGTGTGTTTGCACTAATTGTCAACACCCTTCACACAGACTGTTGTGCAGACTGGAATTCAAAATGTTTGTTCATCAGGGTTTGCAAAGTCTCTTTGATGACTTCCTTATCTTTTCAGGAATCTTAGGATTATGAATGAATAATTGTGATGACTTTTTGGATTGTCTCCCATTATCTTTGCAGTGTTGCAAGAAGGCAGATGAGGAACAATATGAAACCTGCCGTAAATTTGAAACTCAGTCTTTGAAACTTCTCATTTGAAAAGATATTCCTGAATATACTATAATATAATACCAAAACATGTGTCATAACTTTATATGGTTGATCATAATTACATCATGATATTGTAATGTGTCCTAACTTACATTTCTAAGTAGAAAATTTAGATTTTTTTTGTTATTTTCAAATTCATTGTTTGTTAAACAAATAAAATTGAATTTCAACTAAGTGTTTTGAGGGATGAGAATTAGCTAAAAATAAATATTTTGCCTTTAAGATGACCCTAGTGAAGTAAGGAGATATGAAGAATTAGTGTCACACTTAAGTAATAAGTGTTCACAGGAGAGTGAGCCAGGTGTGGCTGACCACCTCTGGGCTCTCAGTGTACTTGTAAGGTTGATGTAGGTGATTTCTGAGTTTGAGGTGAGCTTGGGCCACCTAATGAATTCCAGACCAGCCTGGCTGCTGTGTAAAGCTCTTTCTCAAATTAAACATGAGAGAGAGAGAATGGGAGAGGGAATGAGAGGTAATTATTAGGAGGAGAACAGACGGACTTTTGGGTGTGATAGGAAGGATATCTGGGGACCTGAACATAACAGGAAGAGGTAGGAGCTGTGAGAACAGCTGTGTTTCTTACTGTGTCTTTTTCAGGTAGACTAGCCTAGAATTTATTATACTCACATGCTTTGCAGAATTTGAAAGGCAGCTAATAGGAACTGGATAATGACACAGAATATTAAGTAGAATTAAGTAAGTAGAATCAAGTATTAAGTAGAATTATCTTTATTCATTTAAGATGTATACATCTGATGCGTATATATATGTAAAATTTGCCAAATTTAGGCCTGAATTTTCATAGTAATTTTTAATTCATAGTGTATTTTATAGACGATATTCAATATTAAAAGATGTATTTTGGTCAAATCAATGATCCAAAGTATATCTCTTTAATTTTTAAATATTCTTAGCAGCAACATGTGTGGTGACATGATTATCATCCACTGTGTTGTGATCAGTTGTTCTGTGGTTTTTATTGTTCTGCTGGATAATTGGCGGTATCACATCACATATAAAGCGGATGCATCTGCGTGTGTATTCTTATAGACATACAAATATCCAACTGCCACACAAAACCGGAACCACAGAAAATAAATTTCAGAATGTCTTAAGAAAGTATTTTATATTTCTCTTCGTTTTCTGGTTGGGTTTTATCATTCTTAGTCACAAATGGCAGAGAACCGTTCCAAATCTGCTTCAATAATGACATTTCCAACTGTCTCATAATGCAACATTTGGTAAAAGGCGGACTAGAACAGCCAAATGTGTCACCCGTGCTGAGGAAAATGGGACTGTGGTAATTAGATGCCATCTTCAAATATGAAATTAGTGCTTTAAGTTCAGCACAGTAATTCTAAGCACTTGTGGCCAGAAGCCTCTGTGCTGAGCCGTCTGTGGGCATCCCGTTCTGGCCCAGCCTCTCAACAGGAAGGTAATAGTCATTCCCATCGTGTACAGAGAACAAACAAGTTGTTTGAAAGGCTAAACTTTTTAGTCAGGGTCCAATAGAGATTGAGTAGAGAAGCTGCGGTTTTGAACAGGTCCTCTGAGGGACAGATTTAGGGGCCATCACCCACACTGTGCAGATGAGAAAATCAAGGATTCGTGAGGTCTAAATCCTCTGTTGGCATCAGACAGCTAAGAATGAAGAGGGCAGCAAGTGTGGGGCTTCTGATGTCAGAGGCTGGGTTACTTAGACAAGCCTCTCAAAACTTAGGTTGTCGGCAAAGTTTGGCCGTATCTCTTGTCCTGACAGAATTGAGACAGGAAGGAATCCAGTTACTAATTGGCAGGGACAATCATTAAGGACAATGTGGAGACCCAGAAACGAGCGGGAAAGATAATTGCTGTATCTTCTACTTTATTGCTTTAGCACGTCACACCAAAGCGGAGCGCGCTGTGAGGAAGCAGTTTTCTCTCCCAAGGTTCACAGCCAGAAACTCGCTATGCACCTGAACGAGACCTTCAGCCCCACTCAGTGGCCCAGAATACATTCACTCGGCTCTTTTAAAGCAATTAAACTCAAAGCTCACAGAACAAATCAGAGTCTTAAAATGTGCTTTGCATTTTACAGATAAATGTTCAAAATTAAACAAGTGTCAGCCGCAGATTTTTCCTTCCATGTTGAGGTTTGGCGTTACTGTGCCGCCCGATTCCGGTTTGCTTGGCTTTGGAGTAGTTATCTGTGGCATCACACTTTGTGGCAGTGGATGTTTATGAATTATAGTTTGTAAATCCTTTGTTTAGAATCCAGCAAAGGACAGGTGCGGCGCCAGGGCTTTCGTTATGAAGACCTCTGTCGCGGGAGATATCATTTATAAGCCAAGGAGAGGGAGATAAAGAGAGGACACTATTAATTATAAATCCTAGACGATTCTGTGGGGACATAAACTGGAATTTACATCTTCTCGTGTATCACTGTTGGAAAAGTAGATTGTGCAGCTATATTTGGAGTCCTATGTGCCAGGTGGCATCTGTGATGTTCTGCTAAGAATGCAGAAGTCCATACCACTTCTTTCCTGACTGTGCTTGCTTGGAAACGAGACCATGTTTGCCTGCTGCACGGATGTTCTTAGCCACTTCTGTGGAGAGTGCTTCAGACCAAGTTTCTGTTTGTTAACAGTCATAATTAATACAAGGGTGAAATTCTAGGAGAGCGAGTCATTTCTAATTTATGCACCTCTATGCTTCATATTTATCATGGATTCATCACTTAAACAAAATGTAAGTTAACAAGTTAAGCTACCACTTGTTACCAGTTTACTCCTATTCCATATAACATCATCAGATAGATGCTCTCCTTAATCATAAAAAACCTAAACTTTAAATTACTGCTGTGCCCAGTGTCATACGTGTTAACGCACAAGTGCAAGATAACGAATCGTCTTCCCGTAGCGTCCTCCTCCCTCGTCTGCAGAGGAAGTTTATGAATGATGCATCAGAGGGCTCCAGCCATTTGCATTCAGAGACCGCTAGTTAATGTTTTCACCTAATGCCTGGGAATCTTAAAGATCTCCATAAATAATGAAGCCGTTCATTGTGCTCAAGGATTCTGCCTTCTTCACTGATATGATTTTCTCCTCATTTGAAAGAGTATTTAATTGCACTGCCTGTCCTGTTTAATATTTAATAATAATTTTATTAGCTGTATAGGATGAGAGGGACAAGATCTGGGGTATCTAGTGCCGGTCATCAATTTTTTCTTATCATGACTTAATGAATATTATAATTACAAGTTAAGGCAGAAATATAAATTAGCTCAGTGGTTGGTTGGGACTTGGATGCTTTGTGGTTGCAGCTAGGCAAACCCAGCACAGGCACAAATACCCAGTGGCTCTTCAGGGGCCCTTGGCAGGTTCCCTTGCCCCCTGCATAACCATCTGCACTTTGCATAATGGACACAGGCTGTGGCTAAAGATTTGAAGACAGACGGTCAGTCACAGCTCCTGCTGGTTCCACAGCAGCTGCCAGGACCTTAACGACTGAGAAAACTTAGTCTTAGCAGGCATATATGTTCCTTGATCTCTTTTAATGGATTATGACAACTTTTCATTTTCACTCCTTAACCATTTTTGATAATACTTTCCTTTCTGCTGAGACAAATGCCTGGGTTATTTTGAGTGGGAACCTTACCTACCTGTCATCGTAACAGCCCTTTTTATTTAAGTGGCACCTCACACCTGAGCTTTCCCAAGTGCTCTCGGGTGCATTTTGTGAGGCCTGCTCACCCCTGTGAGGTTGAACCAGGGCCTGGGGAGACGGTGATGTCTGCCCTCAGCTTTCTAGATTTATATGTATGTGAAAAGATTGCTCGGTTTTCAGTGTCACTTGTTCAGAAGTGAAAGCAGACATTGTTGCATGTAATATGCTTTTAGCCTGTTTTAAAACACATCCTTTTGACCCCCTCCAGCAACTGCTCCGAGAGCGACAGCAGATGGCCAGCCGTCCCTTCGCCTCCGTGGACGTAGCGCTGGAAGTGGGAGCCGAACAGACAGACTTCCTGCACGGGCCCTTAGAGGTAGGAGCGGTGGTGCTGAGGTGCCAGTGTGGTTTGCATATTGATGCCGCCTCTCTGATCTGCATCTGCTTGCAAAGCCACACAGAGTCTGATTATCTGGAGTTGACGAGATGGTATTTTGAAGGCACGTAGTTTTAATGGCATGACGTGAGCCCTAGCAAAAGCCACTGGAGAGTCTATTAGCTCAGGCAAGAGTGACAGACTGCTCACTGGCAGCCTTCGCCTGACAGATCGGAGCTGAAGGAATTTAAGGCGTAGTTGCAGAGGAAGAAGCTGAGTGCCTGGCACATTTAGTTCTCAGAATACCCTGTGGCCCCTGCTGAACAGTTCACATCCATCTTCATTAGCAAGAATCTGCTGCAAAAGGTGTGCAGAGAGGAACTGCATCCTAACAGCATAGTTTAGCTTCTAGAGACGAGTGTAAAACACACCAGATATTTTTATTTGTGGAGCACGATTATCACACAGCCGTGTTGCGTGTGCAGAAACAGAGAGCAGTGAAATAAAACCGTGTGTGCAGTCGAGTGTGATGCTGGGATCTGAAGTAAGCTGAGATCATAACCTCGAAAGGAAAGGTCAGACTGTGAAGGGTGACCCTCCAAAGCTGTTTGAGGCATTCTGGTTTAATTGCATGCATGTTAGTGTGTGCTTAGCGTGTGCTTAGTGTGTGCAGTTCTAAGATGGACGAGTAACACATGCTGGAGTTAACACCTTTTATTCTGTCTCAGAAATGCCACTATTTGACTAATTATGCTATCATCAGATTTATTTTCCCCAGAGAAAGGAAGGAATGCAAGAATAGACTCATCCTAAAATATAGGTACAAATATATTTTATTTTGTCTGTAGGGACAAAGTTTTGTCATTTTAAACAATTAAGCCAAAAATATACCTCATGAGTAAAATAGAAAAGGTTAGTTTGTGGATGAACCAAAATATGTGTGTGGGGTGTGTGTGTGTGTGTGTGTGAGAGAGAGAGAGAGAGAGAGAGAGAGAGAGAGAGAGAGAGAGAGATCAGTGTGTAGCTTCTGTGTACTTAATTTTTTCCTACTCTAGGTCACAAGGTACCATGGAAGATTAGGCGTTAGGAAAGGTGGGTAAATCTCTTTCATTTCTGGGAGAGAAATTAGAAAGCACAGCGTGTAAATTAAATGTATAGCAAATGCTTTAATTCTGCTTTAGTCCCCTGTTTCAAATAATGTTATTCTAAACATGTTAAAAACGAGCAGAAACTCTCACCTGTTTAAATCTCTGTACTCTCCAGGGTTGCATGTTCATGTCATGGGCGAAGTCAGTGTAGGGGATGTGTGTAGGCTGTGGAGAAGAAAGTCTAGATGGAGAAAGCACGGGAGGGGTGGATGGCGGTGCGTGTAGCGGCCTTGCAGGAGTATCTCAGTGGCTCCTTGACGGTGTACGAGGTGCACACACGTTGAACATAGAGCCCTCTGCGAGTTTCTCCTTCCCAATTTTTCTTTTCTCTACACTTTGATGCTTTCTTAACTTTAAATTTTATTTTGTTGAGTTTAAAACTGTCTACCTTTATTTTGTTTTATATTTTCTACTCCTAGTTTGTGTTCTTAGTTGAGATTGTTCTGCTAAGCTCAAACATCCCTGCATTTGCAGTTTCTCTGTACCCTTGTGCAGCAGACTGTTTGCTGTCTGTTCTCCAGCCCACTCGACGGTGTGTTTCTGTGGATGTTTGCACTGAAATACAGCACGATCCCACAAGGCTTGCTTAGCTACTCAGGTGTGTGTGTGTGCCTGTGTGTGTGTGCGCGCCTGTGTGTGTGTATGCACGTGCACACATGGCATGTGCGCAGGGAGACAGAGAGAAACCATTCTCTTTTCTTGTTCATTTCTTCACTTCTGAGTATTGTGTATTTCCTTTTTTGGTTTACGTAGTACCCCATACTTATCAATGGCGCATAGAAATGCTTGTTCCTCCTTTCAGTTATTAATATAACTTCCCCTTTAGCTCATCTCAAGCAAAATTAATACAGTAGTTTGTGCATGATCCCATTTCTGCTTCCAAATATCAAAAGTAACGGTAAGTTCTGATACAGATACCATAAATGAACTCAGTTTTTACAGCATGTTTAGCTAATTGTGAGCGTCGTTTCCTTCCTGTTTGTATTCGATTGCTCCCTGATCACAGGATGCCCATGAGCTGAGGTCACTGCAGAACCAGCAGCTGTGGTGGCAGAAGGAGTCCAGTGGCCTGCGTGCCTGGCTCGGGGAGAGTCGCAGGCCATGCTGTCACTTTGTGGGCCTGGCCTGGGGACGCCTCTGCAGCTCTCCTGCCACACAGCAGCAGGGGAAGGATGCCTTGCGTCTGTGCAAGCTCCCGGTTCTTCTCCCAGCGGACCAGTTGCGTGCCTGGTTTCTCTGTGTTCCCGGAGACCTGAGAGTCATCGGTTTTCCTCCATCCTCCTGTGGTCTCCATGTTTAACACTGGGGAAGACAAGTCGCAGCTCTGCCGTGGGCTCTCCGGAGCCTGGCCGAGGGCACTGGGCATCACACAGGTGATGCCAGCTCTGCCGTGGGCTCTCCTGGAGCCTACCAAAGTGCACTGGGCCAGCTCTGGGATTCTTGTTTTCCTCTCTTGTAATGCAGCTCACTTCTCTGAACGACAGGAATGCCTTTGTGTTTTTGATACCACTTCACCCCAGAAATTTAGCTACAATATATCAAAGGGGAATTAATTGCATGCTAGCTCCCATTTAGCAAGTCCATTTTGTCTGGGCTTGAGTTCTATTGAAAGGAGGGTAGTGTTGGTCAAGCCTGCTGAGTTACAGTTCATATAATATGCTGTTCACTCATTTAAATTATATACTCTATTGTTTTAGTGTAAACATGGAATTGCATAATCATTTTCCCAGGTTATTATTAATTTGTAATATCCCATTTGCCTTCACCCTCATTTTCCCCCTAGACTTCTCTTGCCCTAAGCATCGGCTAACCCATTCCTGTCTTTACATCTTTTTTTCTATTTGGGACAGCTTGTATAAATGGGACCTTGGAATACAGGTTTTCTGATTACCGTCTTTCACTAAGATTACAATATGGGAATCCATCTCTGTTAGGACTGTCAGTAACTTGTTCTGTTTCGTTACAAGTTATATTGTGTTGGGTGCAGTGCTTCAGACGGTTAAAGGCAGATTTGCTGTGCAGTCCTCCTGCCTGAGCTTCCTGGGTGTCTAGCGTGCGGGTGTGCAGCACCGTGCCCAGCACCCTACATGTGTAAATGAAGTTCCTCACCCGATAGTCATGTGGATGGTTTCTGCTTGGGAATAGTCTTGATGACAGAGTTTACTTTTGCTGAGTCCAGGATTGGAATCACTGGACTGGAAGTTTTACGAACTGTTGAGAAGACTCTTTCTGTGCTGGTCATCGATGGAGAGTTCCTTTCTGGGCATTCCCCTGAGGAACGCCCGTGTCTGTGGCGGTGCTGGGATGTCTGCGTTATTGCAGTTCTGCCGTGTGTTTGACTCAGACAGGTCTGCTCCTCTCCAGAAGCCAGCGCTCTCCTTGTCCCTTGAAATCCCATGTATTTCAGGATTGGTTGCATTTTCTGGGGAGAAACCCTGCAGTTCAGTCTGTTTTTAGAGCTTGTGCCGTCTGCCTGCTCTGCCTGTCGAGGGAAACATCCGAGTTGCACCGTGGCAGCTCGGCACTGATTCCTTCCTTCGGCGTCTTTTGGAAAACAAGAGGTAGAAGTAGAGGTTCTAAGACTATATTCTATTTCCTGTTTGCTCTGCACTTTATAATAATTGCTGCTAATTAGAAACTTTCTAGCTATGGTTTATTCATCGCTAGTGCAGAGTACTGACAGCTGTTTCAAATCCCTCTGTATTTAAATAGATAAAATAGAACAATGTGGTTTATTGATTTTCTTACACGGTGCACTGTGAACCCTGGAGCCATTTAAAATCACATTTAAAGATTTATATAAATCTGAGAACTAAAGTTGTTTAAAGTTATCATGGAAGGTAACTGTGTAATAACTGTGCACAGCTGTTCACCACAGCCGGGGTAACTCTGAACAGCTATTCACCACAGCCGGGGTAACTCTGAACAGCTGTTCACCACAGCTAGGGTGACTGTGCACAGCTGTTCACCACAGCTGGGGTAACTGTGCACAAATGTTCACCACAGCCGGGGTAACTGTGCACAGCTGTTCACCACAGCTAGGGTGACTGTGCACAGCTGTTCACCACAGCTGGGGTAACTGTGCACAGCTGTTCACCACAGCTACGGTGACTGTGCACAGCTGTTCACCACAGCCGGGGTAACTGTGCACAGCTGTTCACCACAGCTAGGGTGACTGTGCACAGATGTTCACCACAGCCGGGGTAACTGTGCACAGATGTTCACCACAGCCGGGGTAACTGTGCACAGATGTTCACCACAGCTAGGGTGACTGTGCACAGCTGTTCACCACAGCTGGGGTAACTGTGCACAAATGTTCACCACAGCCAGTGTAACTGTGCACAGCTGTTCACCACAGCTAGGGTGACTGTGCACAGCTGTTCACCACAGCTAGGGTGACTGTGCACAGCTGTTCACAGCTGGGGTAATTGTGCACAGCTGTTCACCACAGCTAGGGTGACTGTGCACAGCTGTTCACCACAGCTAGGGTGACTGTGCACAGCTGTTCACCACAGCTGGGGTAACTGTGCACAGATGTTCACCACAGCCGGGGTAACTGTGCACAGCTGTTCACCACAGCTAGGGTGACTGTGCACAGCTGTTCACCACAGCTGGGGTAACTGTGCACAGATGTTCACCACAGCCGGGGTAACTGTGCACAGCTGTTCACCACAGCCGGGGTAACTGTGCACAGATGTTCACCACAGCTGGGGTAACTGTGCACTGCTGTTCACCATAGCTGGGGTGACTGTGCATGCTATATATGAACTCACACATTTTGTAAGTTATTTAAACACTAAATCTTTAATGGACTTTAATCATTCTAAACACTTTAATAAAATAGAAAATATA